GCAGAGGCACCCAGGAGGCTGGGCTGGGCCCCAAGGCCAGAATTCCTTCCCCCACCTCGCTTCCGGTCCTCTTGAATGCTGTCTGTCCTAGACCTGGTCTCTATGACTCTCCCTTTTTCCCATGTCCATCTCTGTATGCATTCTCGGGTTCTAGCCTTTGTGGTGTCTCTTCTCTGGTTCTGTCTTTCTCTTCCCTCGCTGGTTCGCCCTGTGTCCCCTGTTCCTCCATCTCCGTCTCTTCTTCTGTATCTACTTCTGTCTTTCTCTAGGTCTCTCCTTTGCTCCTCCCTCTCTCACTCACTCAGCCGCTTCTCTTTTTGTCCTCTGTCGACGTTTGTCTCCTCACTGCTCCTTCGTACACATTTTCACTTGGTGTTTCCAAATCAATAGCATCAGTTCTCTCACTCTCTAAATATGGACTCCGCCCACTCAGCCCCTGGTAGGCAACCCCTAGGCTCCCTGCCCTCTGTGACCTCCCACTTTCACTAAGGAGACAAACTTAGATCAGACAGCACCAGTGTGGTGGTTTAAACATGCAGCTAGTCCAATCTATATTTCTTCTACTATTTAAGGCAGACAGTGCACACAAAAACCTTTGTTGCCTTGGCATTTTTAAAAAAGGGGCCAGCCTATAAATAACTTTTAAATGAATAAATAAAATATAGTGATAACTTGGGCACACCTCCTTGCCACAGACTCAGAGAAAACTTCCCCTTTGGTACCCCCACGCAGGGCACAGTCGGCCATCTGACCCTTACTAGGGATCCCCTGGTCTTCAGCCCCTTCCCGGACTCCAAGAACCAGCCACAAGAGCAGCCGCACAAGCTCAGTGCCCATGCTTTTAAGTGATGTGGCAAAGCGGAATATCACCAAATCAATTTCTCTCTGAGGCACTCAGTCTCCTGATGTAACCTCTCCTTTTAAAGGAGTCCTTTGCTGTTTTGGTTTTGTTACAGAGGAATAAAAGAATCACCAAACCTTGTCTTTTGGATTAACTTCAGAGGTAACTCTGAACACATTATGAGAACACATCTCCATCTTATTTCTTTCTATCTCTGCCCTGACCTGTGTCTTTAAAGCCCCGGGGTCTCTGTTGGCCTCTACTATCTGCTCTCACTTTCTTGGTTTTGCTCTGCCTGTGGGTGGGTGTCTCTGCCCTATCCAGCTGTCTGTTTCCCCTGCTCTGTGCCCTCGCTCTTAGTACCCGTACTCCCCTTTGTGCCAGTGTGCATCCTAATGTCTCTTTCTCCCAGTCTCTTGACTTGTTCTCTCTTCTGGGGTGTGTGTTTACCGAGGGTTTTCCGTCTCTCTCCCCCTTGTCTGCTTGTCTACCTCTGCCCCTTCCCAGTGCCTGAGTATCTCTGCCTCTTTCCATCTCTGTCAAATCTATTTCTATTCCTGCCTACCTGGAACCCTGGGGGGTTGGGGCTCAGGTCTCTGTCCTCTCACTGCCCAGGCCTCGAGGAGCTGGTTCTTTCCGAGATGAACTCACCAAGTCGGACCCAGACAGGGGACAGCAGTAGCGTTTCCTCCTTCAGCTACCGTGAGATTTTGCGGGAGAAGGAGAGCTCAACTGTTCCGGCTAGGGTAAGGGAAAAGGAAGAACCTACAACCCCTGCCCAAATTCTGGTACCTTCCCTTCTCCCCCACCTGCAACCGTCTCCTACTCTGGACCCAGGATGCACATTATCTCATCAGGTTCTTTCCAAGCTCAACAACATGGATTCAGATTGCTTAACGGAGATGGGCAAACCTCTCTCTCTCTCTCTCTCTCTCTCTCTCTCTCCCTCTCTCTCTCTCCTTTCATCCCCTGTGAGCTAGCCCCACCTATATTGATAACCTAAGTATGTGGCTCACAGTAGGTGCACCATACAGTATATGAGATCCCTCTTTCCAACTTATAAGTATGTGTGTGACATATACACACATACACATACACACATTTATGAGGGGTACTCCCCAAAAAAGCAGTGTTTTTTTTCAAAGCTATGTATTTAAATTTTTCTACAAAACAACATTCAGCACCTTCAAAGTACTCTCCATTACACTTAATACATTTGTCAAATTTGCAATTCCATTCTTGGAAACATTTTTCAAGCTCATCTGTCTGGATGGCTGACAGCACCTCCCTCGTTATTTTCTTCTCTTTTACACCATCAAATCAGTGTCCTTTCACATCCCTCTTCATTCATGGAAACAAAAAGAAGTCGCACAGAGCAAGGTCAGGTGAGTAAGGTGAGTGGGGCAAGAGAGGCATGCTGTTTTGTTTTGGTTTTGCCCAAAACTGGCACACTGAGATGGCTGCATGAGCAGGAGTATTGTCGTGGTGGCAAAACCAGTCCCCCATCTGCCACAAATCAGGCCTTTTTTTGCACACTGTTACGAAATCTTTTCAGAACCTCTAAATAGAAAGCTTGATTAACAGTCTGACCTGGTGGAAC